CAGACAGGGTCTTGCTGTGTAGTTCAGGCTGGCCTTAAACTCACTATGTAGGCCAAGCTGGCCTCCAGCTGTGGCGCTGATCCCCCCTGCCTTAGCCTCCTGAGTGCTAGGATTACAGGCGTGCACCACCACACCCAACCAGGGAAGCACTTATTCCACTGAGCTATCTCCCCAGCCCCACACCCAGCTCACGAGGTTGTTACAAAGGTGAACAAAGGCAAATGGGTGAAAACTGGCCCAGCTCTCTTGCTAAGCGTGTGAAAGCGTCTTGGCCCCTCTCTGGGTGCTGCTACCATGGTTGTATTATCATAGATAGCTAAGTTAGGTAGAAATATTACAGGCAGTTGTCAGGGCTAGGCCCTGGAGCGAGCCAGTACAGAAGATAAAAACACATTACAACTGTGGGTGGAGGAGCCTTCATTAAAGGCCAGGCCTCAGGCTTACAGTGGAATGACAATGCCTACCATCTCCCAAGTCATAAAGAGTAATGATCAATATTCTAAATAGCCATCAACCACCTGGGTAGGGGGCCAAGACCCCCTGACCCATCCTTCCCAGGAAATGTCCTTCTCTTCTCACTCACACTTGCTACACGGCCTGCTTCCCCACTGGATTGATGTTACCTAAAGAACCATATTTGCAATCTTCCTAGTTGCCCATACTTTTGTCCCATGTTGTACCCACCTCGTGACTTTGCTCTGTAAAACTTCCTCTGCGAAGTAGGCTTCAGGTGGGTCCCCTCCTGTCTCTCATACAACAGCTGTTTTTCCTTCAATAAGTACTTCCTGTTCTTAACCTCTGCCTTGGTCCTTAGAATTCATTCTTCAAAATTGGGGAGCACAAACTTGGTGTACCAGCCACCTCCTAGCAGGTTAGGAGTTAGAATGTTCCTGGATGTGACTGGTGGCCCTGATAGCATCCCTATAACAGCATGAGTGACCTCAGACAAGGCCAGCGAAACTGCCCTGCTGGTCTAGCCCGATTTTGTTCTGGTCCATAGCATCCAGAACAAAACCCATGTTTTTTGAAGCTACTAGATTTTTGGAGTCATTGGGACAGTAACAGCTGACTGATACGGGAGATCTTCAGCCCTCTATTTTTTACAGTCTGAATCACCTGAACTAAAGGACTTAATTCCAACAGCTCTTGCTTCCCTCTTTGTAAAATGTGGATCTTTCACTTATTTCTTGTCAGCGATTCCAGATGTCAGGTTTTTGGTTTCCAACTCAGAGAAGCCTAAGCAGTCAGAGGAATTTACTGGCTCAAGCAACTGAACAGTGTGGCTTGGCTTTAGGTATAACTTAACCCAAGGACTTCAGAGGAGAGAGACATCAGGGTTTTGTCAGCCCCCACCTCTTCTGTGTGCTTCGCTGGGTCACCTTCGTCCATAGCTGGTTTCATTCTAGCTGGGATCTTGTCTTCCCTGGGTTCAAGGCTCCAGTTCATCCAGTCTGGCAAGACCAAGAGGAAGTTGGACTCTCATTGTCTCAACTGAAAACTGGGCCGACAGGCAGCAGGATGAAAGGTGCCCCGGGGTCAGGGCTCAACACAGGTCCATGCTGAGCTGCTAAGGAGGGGTAGGGGAGGGTAAGAGCAGAGAAGTAAAGGGTTAGCACCTCCAAGAGCATCTGTGACATTTGCATAAAGGAAACGGGGGTGCAATTACTAGAAGGAATGGAAGCCGAGCAGCTAGAAAGTAACAGATGTGCACTCTCTATCGGATTGCTGGGCAAACAGATAACAAGAATAGCTTACATTTATTAAATGCTTATTAGGTGCCTGGCACTGCTCTAAGTACTTTATGTATATTAATTCCTGCTAATCCTCTCAATGTAGGAGTAGTTATTTTCCCACTTTACAAATAAGGAAGCTGAGGCACAACATGGCTAAGTTGCCTACGGCCACGCATGCATAAGTGACAGCAGAAGTCGAGAGCCTTTGACCATCAGTCTATAGGGCCTGCTACAGGTTTTCAAACTAGGATGGCACGATTGCAATCCCCGCTCTGTTAAAACCATACTTGGAATGTAAACTTGAGAACGTCAGCCTTTTATTGGAGCCCATCTTACAGGGTATGGTTCTCTTTCGGAGGCCTGGCAGTGGCAGTTCTTAGCCCTGTGGTTACAAGAGAAATAATCAATAGTCTACAGCAGGGGTGGACCGATGGCGGGTCTGTTGCTCCTTTTAAGACAAAAGGTGTTAATGCATGAGTTGTTTCTTCTGAACGAAAACCTCAGTACTGAGGTTTAATGAGGTGTTGGTATTTTGTGATAAGTAAGTGGGTTTGGGGGTGCATTTTAGGTACTCCTCTCTGAAAGATTTGCCTACTCCATAGCGTTGTCTTGCGAAGGAGGGTTTTCACCAAGTGAGATGTATTTAATTTTTTACTTTATGGTATTCTCAGTTTACTGTGGGTTTATCAACCATAGCTACACCATAAGTTTGGGAGCATTTGAAATCCAAACAGGTTACTGACACTCTGACAGCAAAATCCTAAGGTGGTCTGCGGGACACCTCCCAAGCACACCGCCTGTGAATGTGGCTGCTCACTCCCTCTCGACTAGACTGAAGCGTCTCTAAAGCAATGGGACGGTCCTTCTCAAGATTCCTACACAGCTAGTCACGGGGCTCTGAAGAACTTGCTTCATGCTGCCAAGTGGCCATGGGACCTCGGAGCGCAACTGTTGACCCAGAAGTGGGGGAGGGCTCTAACAACAGCAAGGAACCAGATTCTGCCTGCAACCCGACGGAACTTGGGGGACCCCTCACTTTCATCTAGGAGACCCCGGGTGGAGGGCCCAGCTCTGCTGTGTCTGAACTTTGGACCTTTAGAGCTGTGAGATAAGTGGGTGCTGTTTGAAGTCACTACATTTGGGGTAATCGTTTACCACAAGCTGCCCCTGCCTTCTCACTTGAAGCAAGTCCCTGCCCCCTCTCGTAGGCCCAGGACCCTTCACACCGGCTCCCCTCACTGGATTTTGCAGTCCCTCAGTGTGTTGTGTGTGCGCATGTGTGTGCGTATGAGGACATGTGTGTGTTCGCGCGCGCGCTGTCTTCATCAGAAGGGAGCCTGGCAGGACTGCTACCAAGTCATTTTTGTGCCATCACTGCTTGTAACAGTGTGTGATGCCCGTCCACTTTAGTCATTTGTAGAATGAATGAAAACACATCTATAGTATGTCTATAAAACTTGGCCTGGATTCTGTTTCAAGAGCAGTTTGGGTCAGTGAAATGCCCTCAGGATTTGTCCTGAGATCCTGTACCTCAGATTGTAGAACCTTTATCAGTGCAGCCATGTGGATGAGCCACGGCCATTGCTTGGCCAATGTGCTCTCTGTGAAAGCCTGAGAGAGTGTCTTCTCCCCATGTGACTCTCCTTAGGC